GTCTCCCTCTCTCTCTGACCCTCCCCCTGTTCATGCTCTGTCTCAAAAAAATAAATAAACATTAAAAAATTAAAAAAAAAAATAAATACTGCTCAGTAATAAGGAAATGAAGCAACTGTCTGGTGGCATATTGCCATTAAATTTTTTTAAGTTTATTTATTTATTTTTGAGAGAGAAAGAGAGAGAGAGAGAAAATCCTAAGCAGGCTTGATGCTGTCAGTTCCGAGTCTGAGGCAGGGGCTTGATGTCTCAAACCGTGAGATCATTACCTGGGCTGAAATCAAGAGTTGGCTGCTCAACCGACTGAGCCACCCAGGTGCCCCAACCATTAAAAATATTTTAAAAGACTTTGCAGTAACATAGGAAATTATTTATACGATGGCATTAAGTGAAAGAAAGCAGGATACTTATACAACATCCTTACATAGCATGATCTCAACTATTTTTAAAAAATATATAGAAATATACTAAAATGTTAACAATGGCTATTTCTGGGTGGTGGGACTGTAGCATAATAATTTTCTAGAGCAAATAGTTCTATATTAATAACCAGATTAATTTTTCCAATTCAAATGCTTCCTCACTATTGTGAAATTACAGATAGCTCTCTCATCTCCTGGTGGGATGTCAGAAGACTGCAAGAGTATTGTTTTCCCTCATACTGCTGGTCCGTAGTCAGATAACTCCAATTTACCCTGACAGGAGTTCTAAGAGCTCCATGTCTCTTTGATCAAGTCCCAAGAAGATAAATTTTCATTTTTTTAAAGGAAAGGCACAGAGTTGTAGCCACTGGTAATTACCATCATGGAGAGCAAGAGCCATAACAACCTTCAGGAGAGACCCACACCCTCCAGCAAGGGGAAGGCATCAGTGGAGGACAACCAGTTGATCAAAGCGGTTGAAAAAGAAGACATCAAGCTGGTTCAGCAATTGCTGGAAGGAGGGGCTGATGTCAATTTCCAGGAAAAGGAGTGGGGCTGGTCACCGTTGCATAATGCAGTACAAAGTGGCCAGGAGGACATGCTACATCTTCTGTTTCGTTACGGCGCTAATCCTTGTCTGAGGAAGAAGAATGAGGCCACTCCCTTCATCATCGCTGGGATTGGAGGAAAGGTGAAGGTGCTCGAACTTTTACTTTCTAAAGGTGCAGAGGTCAATGAGTATGATGCTAATGGCTTCACAGCTTTCATGGAAGCTGCTGTGAATGGTAAAGTTGAAGCCTTAAGATTCCTATATAAGAGTGGGGCAAAGGTGAATTTGAGTCGAAGGACAAAGGAGGATCAAAAGAGGCTTAGAAAAGGAGGGGCCACAGCTCTAATGGATGCTGCTGAAAATGGACATGTAGATGCCTTGAAGGTCCTCCTTGATGAGATGGGGGCAGATGTCAAAGCCCGTGACAACATGGGCAGAAATGCTTTGATCTATGCACTTAGGAACTCTGATGATAGAAAGGTGGAGGTCCTCACTCGCCTTCTGCTGGACCATGGGGCTGATGTCAACGTGAGGGGAGAGAAAGGGAAGACACCCCTGATCCTGGCAGTGGAAAAGAAGCACTTGGGTTTGGTGCAGATGCTTCTGGAACAAGAGCATATAGAGATTAATGACACAGACAGTGAGGGCAATACAGCACTTCTGCTGGCTGTCCAACTCAAACTGGAAGAAATTGCTCAACTGTTATGCGAGAAAGGAGCCAGCACAGACTGTGGAGATCTTGTTATGATAGCGAGGCGCAACTATGACAGTTCCCTTGCAAAGTTTCTTCTCCTTCATGGAGCCAGAGAAGATTTTCACTCTCCTGCTGAAGACTGGAAGCCTCAAAGCTCACGTTGGGGGGAGGCCTTGGAACATCTCCACAGAATATACCGCCCTATGATTGGCAAACTCAAGATCTTTATTGATGAGGAATATAAAATTGCTGACACTTCTGAAGGGGGTGTCTACCTGGGGTTCTACGAAGGGCAGGAAGTAGCTGTGAAACGCTTCTATGAAGGCAGCACACATGGACAAAAGGAGGTCTCCTGTCTGCAGAGCAGCCGAGCAAACAGTGACTTGGTGACGTTCTATGGGAGTGAGAGCCACAAGGACTGTCTGTATGTGTGCCTTGCCCTCTGTGAGCAGACACTGGAGGAACACTTGAATAAGCACAGAGGGGAGGCTGTGGGAAATGAGGAAGATGAATTTGCCCGGCATGTCCTTTTCTCTGTATTTAAGGCTGTGGAAGAACTACATCTACTGTGTGGATACACTCATCAGGATCTGCACCCCGGAAACATCTTAATAGGTAAGTCCCCCCAGTCTTCTCTTAAAAATTATGGGGTCTTTATTTACAAAAGGAAAGGATTTTCATTATAGACAGGAAAAGAGTAGAGTACATGTATACTATTCTGTTCAAGACTAATGAAACTGATTCATAATTATAGTGCAGTCTCTCCTGCTATGAGGTATAACCTTTACCCCACATGGAGGTCCCAGATGCCAATGGAATACCAGGCTAACCTTATATACTTCCTTTGGCAAATGCAAGTATGAAGGTATGTCTTAGATGGGGTCAGCTCCAGAAATTGGAATTCCTAAAGTAGCCTGCAAGTCAGAGAATCCTGAAGTTATGTTCCTTCAGACAAGATGGTAGTCACCGTAAAACTGAATGACAAAACTGAGGTCAAAATTGGGCATGCCAGGATAAGATGCAACACAGTGAAACAGCCTCCAAGTAGGCAGAACAAGACACTACCCACTGGCTCCTCAAGCCAATAAACAAACATACAAACAAACAAACAAACAAACAAATGAAAGCAACATTAAAGAAAAGAAGCAGAGCTGAGTGTAAAGTCCCAGGAGGCAATGTGGTGCAGTAGAAAGAGTCTTGGCTTTAGACAGGTTGAGGGAGGCTTGCAGCCCAGTCCTGCCACTTGGTAGCTTTGCAACCTCAAAGTCACTTGATTCTGTGAGGCTTAGTTCTCTCGTTTAAGACTGATAAGACTGCTTTGATAAGGTTGTTATGAGGTCTAAGTGCAGTATGTTAGACAAGTTACCTGTGTTATAGGTGCTCAACCAAGGCCAAGTTCTTGTCTCGAGGGCTAAGCAGAAACAGTTACCTAATCTACAGGCATGCATTGAGATTTAAGCTAGGTGTAGGGGAACAAGACAAAAAGAGGGTTCAGGTATGGAAAGGCAGAGAACAGTGTTTAAGGTCCTGGACAAGACCTGGAAAGAAGTAGGTAAACCTAAGAACACAACTGGAGTCTGGCTTTTAGTTTGAAGCCACTAGTGGCACTCCTTCCTGGTGTTAAGCAACTTTGCTGGGGAGACTGACAAAGGCCAGAAATATGTGCAGCTCTACCAAGTGAAGCAGTCTCAAGATTCAGCCAAGGGCAGGTTCTTTCCCACTTCTAAATGTCTATCTTGATGCAAAAGGGTCATATATCATGTTCTAAAGAAAATTACTTGTCACTACCTATTCTTCAGAATTTCTGGCACCACCTCTTCTATTCTTAAGCTTGAACAATAAAGAATAGACTATATTTCTGCCTCAGGTGGTGAACCTAACATATACTAGAGACTATTCTTTGTATTAAATCCCTAAAATGATAGGGAAAGATGGTTAAATGACTTCATAGCTGAGATCACAATAACAAAAGAAGTTTTACATGACAAAATCTTTGAAGAGTCATTAAGAGACTGAACATGATTGGATGGGGTTAAAGAAGGACACAGGAGCCAGTATAAATGCAGGAGGCCACAACTAGATGTTACTCATAAAAGTGGGATCAGTGCAAAGAAGCCCCACTCAAGAGTAATGGAAGCCAGAGGCAGGAGAGGACAAAGGACCAGGTAACAGGAAGATTACTGCATTGATAGAAACTAGGAAGCTCAAACCCTGTGCATCCCCTCTGCCCCACAGACCAAGCATCTATGACAGGCCTGTCTGTCTGCAGACAGGGAGACAGGGCTGCTACTCAAGACACTGGGTGGTTGACGATCTCAAGAGAAACAAAGTACATTTAAACCCACAAGATTTGTGCCAAAGCACCCTACTGAGTGGCATGTCCTTCTTACCCCTAAGTTTCACTGAATAATGTAAAGCAGTTCTGACAACTGCCTCCATTCCCCTATGTTGGATAGCATTAACAGAAACAACTCACAGGGCATCAGGGATTCTCAACTGCAAAATGAGGCTTATAGTCAAAAATGACTTAAGATATTCATGAAGTACCAATACCATAAAAGAGATGCATGAAATAGAAGAATTAACACCCAAGGAAACAAAGCTAATTGAATGTATTAGTTTCCTATGGTTGCTGAAACAAATGATCACAAACTTGGTGTCTTAATAGAAACTTATGGGGCGCCTAGGTGGCTCAGTTAAGCCTCCGACTTCGACTCAGGTCATGATCTCATGGCTCCTGAGTTTGAGCCCTGTGTCTTGGCAGGCTCTGTGCTTACAGCTCAGAGCCTGGAGCCTGCTTCAGAGTTGGTCTCTGTCTCTCTGTGCTCCTCCCCTGCTTGCGCACTCTCTCTTTTTCTCAAAAGTGAATAAACATTAAAAATTTTTTAAACGGGGTGCCTGGGTGGCGCAGTCGGTTAAGCGTCCGACTTCAGCCAGGTCACAATCTTGCGGTCCGTGAGTTCGAGCCCCGCGTCGGGCTCTGGGCTGATGGCTCAGAGCCTGGAGCCTGTTTCCGATTCTGTGTCTCCCTCTCTCTCTGCCCCTCCCCTGTTCATGCTCGGTCTCTCTCTGTCCCCCCAAAAATAAAATAAACGTTGAAAAAAAAATTTAAAAAAAAAAGGAATATTTGCCAATGAAGATCTATGTCTAAAGCAAATTCCTTTACCTTTAAAAAAAAAAAAATTTTTTTTTAAACAATAGAAACCTATTCTCCCACAGTCCTGGAGGCCAGAAATCAGTACCACTGGCCCCAAATCAGGTGTCACCAAGACCAAATTCCTCTGTAGCCTGTGGGGGGAGACTCTGTTCCTTGCCTCTTCCTCTTGGCTGCTGATATTCCTTGACTTGTAGCATCACTTTAATCTCTGCCTCTGTAGTCATATTGCTTTCTCTTGTGTTGTCAGATCTCCCTTTGCCTCCACAGAGGGTAGTTGTTAAAAGTTCTCACTACATAAGGATGTACGTGATTACACTTCGGAATCACCCTGCTAACCCCAGGATAATCTCTCCTATTTTAAGATTCTTAATCACATCTGCAAAATCCTTTTTTTGTTTTGACTATATAAAGTAATATTCAGGGGCGCCTGGGTGGCTCAGTCAGTTGAGCATCCAACTTCGGCTCAGGTCATGATCTCACAGTTGGTGAGTTCGAGCCCCGTGTTGGGCTCTGGGCTGACAGCTCAGAGCTTGGAGCCTGCTTCCGATTCTGTGTCTCCCTCTCTCTCTGCCCCTCCCCTGCTCATGCTCTGTAACCTCTCTTAGTCTCAAAAATAAATAAAACATTAAAAAAATAAAAAAAATAAATATTCACAGATTCCACGGATTAGTACATGGGCATTTACTTAGCTTACCTTATTAAGTAACCACAATACAACTTTGAATATAATTAATAAAACCAGAGAACAAAGATAGGTCATGTCCTCCAAGAAGCAAGAATAAGCATTGTGAAAAGAACCAAATAGAGAATTTGGAATTTAAAAATATGATTGTTTAAAATTTTAAAACTTGGGGTGCCTGGGTGACTCAGTCGGTTGAGTGCCTGACTTCACTTTAGGTCATGATCTCACTGTCTGTGAGTTCCAGCCCCGCATCAGGCTCTGTGCTGATAGCTGAGAGCCTGGAGCCTGCTTCAGATTCTGTGTCTCCCTCTCTGTCTGTCTCTTTTCCACTCATGCTCTGTCTTTCTCTCTCAAAAATAAAATAAAAACATAATAAAATAAAAATTTAAAACTCAAGACTGGGTTGAAGATTAAATGAGTGAACTAGAAGATTTGCCCAAGAAATTCTCCAAGGAAATAATAGAAAAGTATAAAGGGATGGAAAGGGAAAAAGTTTAAGAAGTCAGGAATTAGATCCAGAAGTTCTAATAGGCATTCCAGAGGGAAGAAGAGAGTGAGGCTGAAACAATATTTGAAAAAAAATCACTGAGAATGTCCCAGAACTAAAAGATGGATATAGTTCTCTTATTGAAAAGACTCACCAAGAGCTGAGGTAAGTATGGAAAAAACCCCATTGAGCCACATCTTAAAGGAATTTCAAAGCATCAAAGAAAAAAGAGAAAACCTCAAAAGCTCCCAAGAGAAAAAAAATTACCTACATAGAAACCAAAATCAGATTGGTAAGGGACTTCTCTCATCAGCAACCTGAATGCCAAAGGAAGGCACTGAGGAGAAAGAGCCTATTTAACAGCTGAATGTTAGTGTCAGCCCAGAATTCATATGTTGAAACAGGAATCTCCATGTGAGGGCACTTGGAGATAAGACCTTTGGGAGGAGATTGGATCATGAGGGTGGAGCCTTCATGAAGGCATTAGTGCCTTTTTTTTTCACAATTAGAAATAATTTTTTCATTTTCTCCAGCTTTATTAAGACAAAATTGACATGTAACATTGTGTGAGTTTAAGGTATATAATGTGATGATATAATATACGTCTATATTGCAAGATGATTACCACAATACAGTTAGTTAACACATTACCTCACATAGTTGCCGTTGTGTGTATGTGTGGTGAGAACTTATAACATCTACTCTCAGCAACTTCAACTATATAATACAGTATTGTTAACTATAGTCACCGTGCTGTGCATGACATCCCCAGAATTTAGTCATCTTGTAACTGGAAGTTTGTACCCTTTGACTGCCTTTAGCCATTTCCCTGACCTCCACCACTGGCAACCACCAATCTACTCTCTGCTTCTATGAGTTCAGTTTTTTTTTCATTATTTAAAAACATTTTTTTAAATGTTTATTTTTAAGAGAGAGAGAGACAGAGAGAGCATGAATGGGGACGGGGCAGAGAGAGAGGCAGACACAGAATCTGAAGTAGGCTCCAACCTCTGAGCTGTCATTACAGAGCCCAAGGTGAGGCCTGAACTCATGAACCATGAGATCATGACCTGAGCCAAAGTTGGATGCTTAACCAACTGAGCCACTGAGGTGCCCCTCAGTTTTGTTTTATTTTTTTTAGATTTCACATATAAGTGAGATCATATAGCATTTGTGTTTCTTTGTCTGACTTCTTAAACTTAGCATGATGCCTTCAAAGTTCATCCATGTTGTCATAAATGGCAGGATTTCTGTCTTTTTATGGCTGCATAGTGTTCCGCTGTGTGTGTGTGTGTGTGTGTGTGTGTGTGTACCATTTATTTATTTATTTATCCCTTCATCTGTCAATGGACACAGCCAGTTTCTATGTGTTGGCTAACATAAATAATGGTGCGATGAACCTGGAGACGCAGTTACCTCTTCAAGATGGTGATTTCATTTCCTTCAAATATACTTTTCTATTTTATCAATTTTTAATTTTTTTGAGAAACTTTCACGGTGTTTGCCATAGAGGCTGCACCAATTTACATTCCTACCCACAACACACTAGAGTTCCCTTTCGTCCACATCCTCACCAGTGCTTGTCATCTGTCTTTTTGGTGATTATTCTAACAGATGTATGGGATGATATTGCATCATAGTTTTGTTTTGCACTTCACTAATAACTACTGATATTGAGCACCTTTTCATGTATCTTTTGGCTCTTTTAATGTCTTCTTTGGAAAAAATGTCTATTCAGGTCCTTTGCCCATTTTTCAGTCAGAACATTTTATCTTTGCTATTGTATTGAATGAATTTTATAATTCACTCCAAACCAGATATCTGATTTGCAAACAGCTTTTTTTTTTAAATTCTGTACATTCCCTTTTAATTTTGTTGATGGTTTCTTTTGCTGTGCAGAAGCTTTTAGTTTGATGTAGTCCCTCTTGTTCATTTTTGCTTTTGTTGCCTGTGCTTTTGGTGTCGGATCTAAACTATCACTGCTGGGACCAATATCAAAGAGCTTTTCCTCTACGTTTTCTTTTAGGAGTTATAGGGCTTCAGGTCTTACATTTCAGCCTTAAGCCATTTCAAAGTAGTTTTTTAAGTGGTGTAAGACAGGGTTCCACTTTCATTCTTTTGCATGTAACTATCTGTTTTTTTCCAACATCATTTTTGGAAGAGACTGTCTTTTCCCCATTGGGTATTCTTGGCTCCCTGTGAAGAATACATATGTGTGGGTTTATTTTGGGGCTCTTGATTCTGTTTAATTCATTTTATACCAGTACTACATTGTTTTGATTATGAGAGCTTTGTGATATAGTTAAAAACCAGGAAGTGTGATGCCTCTAGATGTGTTCTTTCTCAAAATTGCTTTGGATGGATTAATGCCCTTATAAGAAGAGGTCATAGAGGGCTGCCTGGGCGGCTCAGTTGGTTGATTCTCTGACTCTTCATATCCACTCAGGTCATGATCTCATGGTTTGTGAGGTTAAGCCCTGTGTTGGGCTCTGTGCTGATAGCATGGAGCCTGCTTGAGATTCTCTCTTTCCCTCTTTCTCTGCCACTCTGCCACTTGCACTTTCTCTTTCAAAATAAATAAACAAACAAATAAATAAACATTAAAAAAAAGAAGTCATAGAGCTAGCTAGTTATCTTTCCACCATATGAGGACACAGCAAGAACATGGCTGTCTATAAACCAGTAAGAGGGTCTTCACCATGAACCCAGTCCTGCTGACACCCTCATCTCAGATTTCCAATATTCAGAACTGTGAGAAATAAATTTCTGTTGTTTAAGCCACTCAGTCTATTGTGATTTGTCATAGCATCCAGGACTGACTGAGAGAACAGTCACATTATTATTGTTCACATGTGATTCAGAATAAATACATATTTTTGACTGCAGTATTATTAGCACACAGTGTTTTATTAGTTTCAGATGTATAATATAATGATTCAACAATTCTATACATTACCCACTGCTCATCACAATAAGCACACTTTAATCTCCTTTATTTATTTCACCCATCCCCCTCCACTTCCCCTCTGGAAACCACCAGTTTGTTCTCTGTATTTAAGAGTCTGTTTTTTTGTTTGGCCCCTTTTTTTTCTTTGTTCATTTGTTTTGTTTCTTAAATTCCACATATGATGAAATCCTATGGTGTTTAGGTTTCTCTGACTTATTTCACTTAGCATGATAGCCTCTAGGACCATCCATATTGTCACAAATGGCAAGATTTCATTCTTTTTGATTGCCGAGTAATATTACATTCTCTCTCTCTCTCTCGATATATATGTATATCTTCTTTATCCACTCATCTGTTGATAGACAATTTGGCTATTTCCATATCTTGGTTATTGTAAATAACACTGTAAACATAAGGGTGCATATAACTTTTCAAATTAGTGTTTTGTTTTCTTTGGGTAAATATCTGATAGTGGAATTACTGGATCATATCATATCTATTTTTAATTTTTTGAGAAACCTCCATACTGTTTTCCACAGTGGCTATAGTAATTTACATTCCTACCAACAGTGCACACTTTTTCTCCACATTTTTACCAACATTTATTTTTTGTCCTTTTGATTGTAGCCATTTTGACAGGCATAAGGTGATATCTCATTGTGGTTTTGATTTCCATTACCCTGATGATGAGTGATGTCGAGAATCTTTTCATGTGTTTGTTGGCTATTTGTATGTCTTCTTTGGAAAAAGTTTCTATTCAGGTCCTCTGCCCATTTTTAATTGAATTGTTTGGGGTTTTTTTGGTGTTGAGTTGCATATGTTCTTTATACCTTTTTGGCATTAACCTCTTATTGGATATCTCATTTGCAAATATCTTCTCCCACTGAGTAGGTTACCTTGTTGTTTTGCTGATGGTTTCCTTTGTTGTACAGAAGCTTTTTATTTCAGTGTAGTCCCAATAGTTAATTTTGCTTTTGTCTCCTCTTCCTGAGGAGACATATCTAGAAAAAATGTTTCTATGGCCAATGTCAGAGAAATTACTGCCTATGTTTTTTCTTTTTCTAGAATTTAATGGTTTCAGCTCTCACATTTAGGTCTTTGATCCATTTTGAGTTTATTTTTGTGTATGGTGTAAGAAAGTGGTCTATTTTCATTCTTTTGCATGTAGCTGTCTAGTTTTCCCAACACCATTTGTTGAAATACATTTTTTAAGCATTCAAGGATCCAGGAAAACTTTCTGCCCACAGACCCTACATGAAAGATCTGCTAGAGGATATGCATAAGGAAGGAGAGAGAGTCTGGGAGAAAATAGTAACTTACAAGAAGCAAAGAATAAACAAAGAAAGAATTCATTGTTTATGTAAATTATGCACATTGTTTTTTTTTAAGGATTACAAATATATTAATCTTAGATGACATCACTGTGGTGGGAGTGAGGATGAAGAGGTTCTTGATTCATTCATTGACAGCAGGGTGGAGTGGGCAGATTTTGTCCGGACTCTGCCCATCAACTGTTAACAGTCTGTGATGATGTAAGTTTAAAATTTTGATAGCACTTTAACAATGTCTATTGAATCTAAACAAAACAAAACAAAACTGGGGCTTGTTAAAAAAATCAAGTGTTAGGCAGAGATGTGAAGTGTTCCATCAGGCACTTGCCAATTTAAGTAGTAGAACTCAGCTCCAAGTGGCTTAAACAATGAAGGGGATTTATTAGTTCGAATAGCTGAAAACAGTCCCTGGTTATGATCTGCATCCCATCTGCCCCTTCAACCTTCTTTCCAACTACATCCCTCCTCTCCAGGTACTCAGCCTGCTTTCTGTCAGAGCGGAATTCTTTGGGTTCCTTTCTGCCTTGGGAATTCCTATCTGGAATTCTCTCTTCCCTGCTCCACTTATCCACTCAAATTCTACTAATTTTGAGAGAGAGAGAGAGAGAGAGAGAGAGAGAATATGCAAGCAGGGGAGGGGCAGAGAGAGAGAAAGGGAGAGAGAGAATCCCAAGCAGCCTCCATGCTGACAGCATGGAATCTCATGTGGGGCTCAAATTCACAAACTGTGAGATCATAACCTGAGCTGAAATCAAGAGTTGGATGCTCAACCAGCTGAACCACCCAGGTGCCCTAAGAGTCCTTCCTCAAGGAAGACTTCTTTCCCACATACAGCCATGTGGTTCTTGTTATAAACTTTCAGTTTCCTGCACTTTTAGCTAGTACTTTTAAAGTTGCAATTAACTTTGTGTTTATTTGTGTAATTATTCACTCAATATCTATCTCCTTGTTCAGCGACTCTGAACCCTGCAGGATCTGTGCCGTGTTCTCCTCCTCCACTGTCATTTTCCCCCTCACTAGACCCTTATTGAATAATTTAGTGGAAGCATTTTTGTTAGACTGTGGGTTTCCGTGCAACTTTGATATCTAAGTTCAGAATAAAAAGGGTTCGAGAAGCACACAATTCTACTGACTGTCATCCTATCTGGAGTTACCCAGTTTTCTTTTTTTGACTCCTTCAAGCCAGAAGCAGGAGCTACTTCTTCAAGGACAGATCACTGACTTGTTCTCCTCTCATATTGTTCCGGATCTCTCCTGTCCATGCATCCCTCTGTCTGAGGACTCAGTGGCTTCTTTGCAGGGAGAAGGATTCTAAAGAAGGGATGAGGCAGTGACTCATAACAAGCACATGGTTAATCCATGATAACTGCTTACAGCATCATAGTGGGCTGTGGGTGATGGGCTTGATTTAGTGGAGTGCTGTGCTAATCTGGCCTTGGATTTGGAATCTTGTTGGTTAGCTGTTGTGTAGCCTTAGGAAGTCAACATAACTCCTGCCAGCGGTTTCTTTATAAATCTGTGCTCTTTGCCCCCAGGAATTGCCTGAATGGGGAGCTAGTTAAATTTATCCTCATCCTACCTCACCCCCAGGACTGGAAAAAAATAAAATTTAAATCCTGCCCTTGGCATATACCTAACAGGTGAAACGATGTGGTGCTCCTCTTTTGAGGAGCAAATGGCCATGCAGATATAAGCTTTATTGCTGCTTTCTTTGGCGATGGTAGCACATTGCGGAACATATTTATTTAAGTTAATTACAACAGGAAGAGAAAGGATTTTCATTGCATCTCTACAAACTATCCCCTAGATTCCAAGAATGCTGTTTGCCTGGCAGATTTCGATAAAAGCATCAAGTGGGGTGGAGAGCCACAGGAAATCAAGACAGATCTAGAGGTAATTTCTACAACTAGTTTACTTTTCCATCTTTCACCTTCCTTTTTTTGTTTCATTCATTCCCTTATGTCCTATGGCCAATTAGAGGTCATCATTTCTATTTTAACTAACTTTCACAGCGTTTTCCCAGAGATTGCTGCCTTCAGTCCTGTGCAGACAGTAGCATTTCTCTGGGTTGGTGTGGAGTTGGTTGTTGCTGTGGTTCCTTTCTGTATCTCTTTGGATCTCTCTCCTCCTGCACCAGCTAGATAGTAAATAAATCGAGCATGCCACATCTCTTCTAAAATTACCTCCAAGAAGCATCTCCAAATCACCTCCAGAATTCCTGCAGGAGGTATTTTCTGCCTAAGGACAAAGCAGTTGAGATTTCTTTTCCCATTCCATCCAAACTGGGGTGCTAAACTCCTGGGAAGGCCAGATACTACAGCCCTCTGAAACACAAGAGAGGGATGAGATTGATCTTCAGCTTGAAAGAGACTAATCTAGGCCAAAAGGGTTAAGACCCTGAAATAGCTGTTTCTCCTGGGAGGAGAGAGGGCAGAAACAGAGCCTGACCTCTGCAGACCAAAGGTTCCAGATTGATTCTGATCCTGTCAGGGCAGCTTTGTCCTGGGGGATTCTCCAGGGTGCTCAACTTTCAACCCCAGGAGCAAGAGCTCTCTATCCATGTCTGGCCTTTGCTGTTAAAAGCCTCAGATTTTAGCTTCTTCCCTGACTGGTGTCTTGCCTGCTGCATGAAGTTCCTATGCTGACCTCCTTCTTGGCCTTTCCTCCCTGTCATGACCTAACTCCTGGGGCTATCACTCTGTCCCACTGACCAGGACTGGCTCCTTTATCTGCTCCCTGACATAGCCCCAACCCAAAGTCCCAGTTCCCAGCCAGATTCCTACCATTTCCCTTGCTTAAAATATTTTTCTTCTCCCCTGTTTATCTGTATGCTGTCCATACTTTAAGATCAAGCTCAAATTCCTCTTCCTTTAAGCAGTCTGCCCTGACAACTCTGGCCCATGATTACTTTTCACTCCTTATAAACCTCAGTTGTGGGGACCATATACTGCCTCGAAGGGTTCTTTATACACTACCTGTGTCTTTTCTCCCTAATAAGCCTGTGGACTCCTTGAGATTTCTCCCACTTTCCATTTGGTCATAACCTATATCACACCTCCATACAGAGTGATAATTCTTGAATACCTTTAGCTCAATTTATGGGTTTCATGCAGGCCCTTGGACTGCTGGTCCTATATGTGGTAAAGAAGGGAGATATCCCTTTTGAAACCCTGAAGACTAAAAGTAATGAAGAGGTGATTCAACTTTCTCCAGATGAGGAAACTTGTAACCTCATTCATCACCTGTTCAACCCTGGAGAAAATGTGAAGGAGCATCTGAGTGGCCTGCTGGGTCATCCCTTCTTTTGGAGTTGGGAGAAGTAAGTAAAGCTTGATTGCATATTTCAGGCATCCAGAAGGGAGACAGTGACTATATATATATATATATTATATACAAAATCATATATCATATATCCAAATGATAAATATAAATATATATTTATTTTTATAAGGAAATGGCTCAGGCAGTACTGAGGCTGAGAATTTTCATGATCTGCCTCTGCAAGCTGGAGACTCAGGAAACCCAATAGTGTAATTTAGTCTAAATCCAAAGGCCTGAGAGCCAGGGGGCACTGATGATGGGGATTCCAGTAAGGGTCTGAAGGTCTGAGAGCCAAAAGGGGTGAGGGCAAAAGAAGGTTGATGTCCCAGATGCAGCCATAAGACAAGAAGGGGTGAATTCCAGGTTTTGTTCTATTCAAGGACCTCAGGGGATTAGACGAGGCCCATTCACAAGGGGAAGACGATCTGCTTTACTGAGTTCACCAGTTCAAATAGTAATCTCATCTGGAAACACCTCACAGATATGCCTAGAATAATATTTAATCTGGGTCTCTTGTGGCCAGACAAGTTAACACGTAAAATTAACCACCGTGGTTAGGTGGTGTGGGAAGGAGTTAGGCTGGGAATCAGAAGACCTGGCTCTCCTCTCAGCTTGGCATCTCCTGACTGTGTATCTTTGGAGTAGTGACTTAATGTCTCTGGGTTCTGGTTTTGTTTTCTGAGGAAAAGAAAAAGCCGGGGGTGGGGGGGGGGGAAGGGGGAGCGGAGAAAGAGAGCAAGATGCCTGCCTCTTCCATCATACAGAATTTTTAGAGACATGGTTTTACTACTTTTATCAAAAACCGAAATGTAACATTGTTCTTTCTGAAAAGAGAAGGCAGAGTGGAATGACCATGATAATTTTGTCATCTTCAGCCGCTATAGGACCCTTAGGGATGTGGGAAATGAATCGGACATTAAAATGCGAAAATGTAACAGCAGGATTGTCCAACTACTGCAACTTGAAATGTCTGAATGTTCCAGAAGTTTTGCCCAGTGGACTTCTAAGGTATGAACGATTCCTGTGTCTGGAAGTTATTCCAGGAGTAAGGATCTGTGTAATGTGTTATGTTAGTTATTTTATTTTATTTTTTTTTTAACTTTCAGTATACTATTGGCCTGGCTCAGCCAAGGGGTTGAAGATGTGATTTCCCTGCCTTCCTCCCCATCCCAGCCCCCTCTGCCCTGTTGGGTCTCTGTCTCATCTTTCAGAGGCTAGGCCCTCCTGACAGACAGACTGTCATCTAGACTTCTCTTCAGGATGGCCGCGTCCCAGCCCAGGAGTCTTTTCCTTTCTCGTGGCTCTTTCCCTCCAGCCCTGGTTCTAAGAGAGGCCTGGCTAATCATCCTATTACTATTGTGACAAGAGCAGCTGATTAAATAGAGTTTAACCCCAAGGAGGTCCCGCACCGTGAGACTTCTCAGTCCAGGGAGAGATTGGCTGCCTCTGCCGACTGTCCAGCCCAGCTCTGAGGGCCCACATACACATCTACATTCTGACTAGGGAAACACACCATGAAGAAATCTTTCAAATTTCTCTTCTTCAAGAAATGGTCCACCTAACTTGAACTAAATACAGTAAAACATAACAAATCAATCATCACCTCGATCTGGTCAATGCTACCAAAACTTTCGTTATTATTACTTAGCAGATACCTATCGAGTGCCAGTTTCGTGCTAGACCCATGTGAGGCTGTGGGCATGTAAAGCAGAGTACAGTATGGTCCATGGAGGGCCAAGAGACCCACAGAAACACTGGCTGTATGATACATGCTGGGCTCCCTGGAGACAGTGCAAAGCACTATGGGAGAATCCATATCCCCAGGTCTTTGACCGAAACCAATAGCTTCCCAATCATATGCCTAATCTAGGACTGCTTGTCTCACACCTCTTTGTTTCTGGGTCTCATTTTGCTTTCCTTCCCTTGTTTGCCTCTAGATGACACATCACACTCATAATTGCTGCCTTAGTGTCCATTTCTCCCCACTACCCTGTAAATTCCAGGGGGGCAGAGACTGTCCGTTGTCATGTCTGTTACTGAATTCCTGGCGTGGAGTAGGTATGCCATGACTCTTTGCTAAATGAACGTCTATAAAACTTCAGCTAAAACTTAAACTTTTAGAAACAGAGAAGTTTGAAACAAGAACAAGTGATAATAACAGCTGACAATTCTGTAGCACTGACTCTATGGCAGTTATAGTTCCCAGGGCTTTGTGAGAGTTTCCACAGCTAATCCTTATAACAACCTCTGAGGCAATTACCTCCCTTTTGTGGGTGGGCACACTGAGGCACAGGCAAATACTTTTTCCAAAGGCACAGAGCCAGCAACAGAATCTGAAGCTGGGCAGTCGGGCTGCCGATGCTGTGTGCTAAAGCTACTCACTGCACGAAGTGATGATGCCATGAAGTCCACCCGTTCATTTAATTGCTGAGGAAATTGAGACTCAGAGGTATAACCTGAAATAGCCAGACCTGGAAAAGCAAAGATTGGCAGCGCCTGGGAAGGAAAACCTGTTCTTTTGTTTCCCAGTTCATCAGTTCTTTCCCCAAAACTTTATGGACTTATGATGCATTTTGACTGATTTCAAGCCTTACCTTTTTACTATTTTTTAGGTTTTTTTTTTAAGTTCATTTATTTATTTTTGAGAGGGAGAGCACAAGCAGGGCAGGGGCAGAGAGAGAGAGAGAGAGAGAGGGAGACACAGGATCCAAAGCAAGCTCTAGGCTCTGAGCTGTCAGCCCAGAACTCGACGTGGGGCTTGAACCCATGAACCACAGGATCATGACCTGAGCCGAAGTTGGATGCTTAACTGACTGAGCCCCCAGGCGCCCCTCAAGTCTTATCTTTTAATTCCCATTTGAGACTTTGACTTTCTGTCAATTCTCACGACTTGCCCATTTTCACGGTCATACATTCAGCTTTGCGGCAGCCCCAAGGAGCCAAGTTTTCCAGCGTGTGCTCCTGCCTCCTCCCTCCGGGGCACCCTGCGCTGGCGTGCAGTGGCTCAGCCCTTCTCCTAGGTGCGCTGCACGTGGCACATGTGGACTGTCTCAGCAGGTCTTCACTGGGGTGGTCTAGTCACCCATGACTCTTGAGGGACTCTATCTTCACGACTGTTGGGTGCTATTCTCTTACCCCTAACGCTTTGTAAAAAGGAGAGCCACCTACAAGGGTGCAAACACACAGAGAAAGGCATGGGCTTGGGAGACGCTGCTGTGAGATACTTAGAGGCAAGGAGGAACATGGAACCTTTGGAAATAGGATTCAGAACAAAACAAAACCCACCACACTCATTTTGGCAATGGCTGCCGGGTCCGATTTTAGTCTGAACACCCTCTTCAGGGGGGAAATGTAATCAATTACCAACTTGGACAGGTGGCCACCAGGATAAAAATATTGTACAGTCTAACGAGTAAATTTCCTAGGATAGTAGCCAACGAATGTCTAAACCATGTTTCAATATATTTAACTTCCTGTGAAAACAATTCACTGAGAAAATAGATACCAGAATGTGAAGTTACTTATAATCCCACATCTAGACACAACTACTGTTAGCATTTTGACGTTATAGTATTTACTTCCGTTCTTTTTCTTTCTATTAATTTACTTTATTAATCAGTGGTAATTTGGGCATATATTCAAATTGGCATTTTGCTTTTTTGTACTAATAGTGCGTTAGGGTTTATTTTGTGTTGCTACTACATTTTTGCTTAACATTTTGTTTTGTAGATTGACAACTACGTTATGCAAGAAATGAATAAGTATTATGAAAACAAACGCAAACGTTATAAGAATACTGTGAGTGATCTGTTAAAGTTCATCCGGAATTTGGGAGAACATATTAATGAAGAAAAAAACAAAGAGTAAGTACTATTTCTGTTCCTGTAAGTCATCTATGAAATGAGGGTGATTTAAAAATCCAATTCTAGGGCTGCCTGGGAGGCTCAGTCTGTTGAGTGTACGACTTCAGCTCAGGTCATGATCTCGTGGTTCATGAGTTCAAGCCCCGTGTTGGGCTCTGTGCTGACAGCTTGAAGCCTGGAGCCCGCTTCGGATTCTGTGTCTTCCTCTCTCTCTGCCCCTTCCCCATGTGTGCTCTGTCTCTCTCTCTGTCAAAAATAAATAAACATTAAAAAAATTAAAAATCCAATTCTAAATTTATATCTGCTATTTGTTAGAATAGGAAATTTATTTTGATGGAAGAAAAGTAATTCCTCCCCTCTGGAAAAGGCCAACACAAGGGTCTTACAGTGAATGACAGATGTGCCCCGCAGGCTCTTATCCTCCTTTTTAGCTATTGCTGAGCTCTCTTGAACAGAAGGGTAGTGACTCCCTTGTGGGAAGAAATGCAGGGGCCCGGGCAGCTGGCTAAAGTGAATGTGGTGCTGTAAAAGTCTCAAAAGTAGCCCCTGTTAGTGAAATCAGCTGGTGCAGCCTAAAATGTTAGCTGTAAACTCAAAGAAACCTTGCAGTTTTCAGGGCTCTTTTGGATTTTGGAATTGTAGATAAGGGACTGTGGAACTGTATCATCTCCATGTTAAGGAGAATAAAACGGGTTCACAAAAATCAAGTTGCTAATTAGTTGAAGAGTTAGGAGATGAATCTTGTTCTGTCAGATTAAAAAAAATTTTTTTTAATGTTTATTTATTTTTGAGAGAGAGAGAATGTGAGCAGGGGAGGGGAAGAGAGAGAGGGAGACACGGAATCTGAAGCAGGCTCCAGGCTCTGAGATGTTAGCACAGAGCCTGACACAGGGCTTGAACTCACGAGCTGAGACATCATGACCTGAGCCGAAGTCGGATGCTTAACTGACTGAGCCACCCAGGTGCCCCTTGTTCTGTCAGATTTTAAAGTCCTTACTCCCTCTGCTCTAGAAACCAAGGGAGCAAAGAGATCTTTGGACGCAGATGCTATAATGGGGGAAGACGATTTGGGGGGCAACCATGCCAATATGTTTATGTTTCATTTCAGGATGAAGTCGAGAATTGGAGAACCTTTCCAGTATTTGCAGGAGAAATTTCCCGATCTGGTCATCTATGTCTACACGAAACTACAGAACACAGAATACAAAAAGCATTTTCCCAAAACCCTCAATCCCAGCAAGCCTTAGTGTGATAGAGGTCATCCCTGAGTGGTGGCTGAGCTTTTAGAGTTCAGGGAGGTACTTACTTAGCTGTGATCTCAGGCAAGTCACAACTCTCTGTCTGGGTCTCTTAACTAACCTGGTTGTTTGTGGGGATGTTAGATAGCGGGTATATCAGGCCCCAACACAGTGCCCAGTTTTCCCACATGTTTACAACAGAAAAATGTATATGCTCAAACTACCTTCCTTGTCTTTTTTATGGATAAAGCTTAGTGGTAGGAGCTGGGAGGGCATCCTGCTAAGATTCCTCTTGTCAGTTACACCCCAGGAGTTGAGTGGCTAAACCTGTAATGCTTCTATGTTTTACCTTGATTGTCTCATTTAATTCTTCCAATGACCTTGCAAGACAGGGTTTATTATGTCCATTTAAGAACTGGCAGACCTGAGATTGAGAGAGTTTGAATTACTTGCCCAAGATCATACAACTTGCATAGAGCACTGTATAAATGCATGTCGTGTTATTGTTATCACTTACTTGGGTATTTAGAACTTAATCACTAGCCCAGGGATCTTCTGGATGGATCCCCAAAGGAATATGCCAAAGGGACTCCAGAAAGCTCATTCACTCATTTACTCCACTTATGCATGCATTCATTCATTCAATATTTGTTGAACACCTAGTATAAGACCAGACACTAATTGTATGAATTCCATTCCTTCTAGAACCACCTACATTGGTTTTCCATGACCTCAAGGCAGTAGTTCTCAACTGGGGGCAGTTTTGCCCCTCAGGGGCCATTTAGCATCATCTGGGGATGTTTTTGGTTTTAAATCTGGGAGATAGGGCATGTTATTGTCATCAGATAGATGGAGGTCAGGGATGATGCCAAACATTCTATAATGCACAGGATAGCCCCCCACAACAGAGAATTATCCAGCCTAAAATATCAGTGGTACCAAGACTGAGAAACTCTGCCTTAAGGAATTGGGACACTTTTGAACTGGCTTGGGGACTAGGACCATGGATTGTGTAGACCACCTCACAGAGGAGTGACTTGGATTTATTATCTTGCTTTTGGATTTGTAGTGAAACAATTCCAGTGTCACCTCCCCAGAAAGCCCCTTGAGCCCCCCTACCCTCCATCCCCCAGTCTGAGTGCTCTTTCTGGCCCCCTAGCACCCATAACCAGAGCATGCTTCTCTCCACCTTGAGCTTGCTTCTTCCTCACTGGAATGTAAGCTTTCAAGGACCAGTGATATTTATAATGTTTATTTATTTATTTTGAGAGAGAGAATGAGTATAAGCGATGGAGGGACAGGGCTCAGCGTGGAGCTCGATGTGGGGCTCGATACTACAACCATGAGATCCTGATCAGAGCCGAAATCAAGTGTTGGACACTTAACTGACTGAGCCACCCAAGCACCCCAATATATATTTTTTGATTTGTATCATTAGTGCCTAGCAAAATGTCTGCCATATGGTAACATTCAATAGTCACTGAAAAATGAATGAACCATCTTTATAAATGAATAATAATGTTACCTTACATTTTAATCGTGCTTTATAATTTATAAATTACACCCACATATTTTCTCTTTTAGTTTTCAAAATTATCCTGTAAGGTAGGTGTTGTTATCTTCATTTTGCAGATGAGGATAGAGACATATTGATTTACTCTAATACATAGCTAGAAAGTATCACTGTCTTGATTTGAACATATTTTCTGGCATTAAGTCTGATGTATTTTCCACTTATCCTCGTTCTGGTGGTCAAGGTGGAGCCTTGTAATGGGAGGAACTGGGGCTAAAACAGTATCTTAGGTTCTTTCTGAAGAGATGACGACAGTAAATGAAGTTAAGAAGAGTTGGAAGTCAAACTAAACATAATTGACACTGATGTCCTCCACTCTCACCTATGATTGCATGGATCATCCTCTCCTTGCTTAAAAAAAAGGTACTGGAAGAAAGAAACTTAAGGCTGTTCTGTAAGGTTTTAGGAGAAGCAAGATTGCCTTAGATTTTAAAATTAAGGTTTGTTTTTCTGATTTGTAGTAAGTACCTGGTTATGTCAATCAAAATGCCCATTTGTAAGCATAGTCAATAAAACTTGGAGTCATCTTATTCAGTCTGATTTTCTCTAAGTGATATTTCCACTATAGAGAGTAGTGATAAATATAATAGAAAATGCTCAATGAATAATTCCTGGTTAGGTTTTAAGAAAGGGCATCCTCCTCTTTAATAATGGGAAAAGGAGCCTATTTTCAGCCTTTCAGTAATTCTGGAACAATTTGAGGCTGGGGTGTCTGTAGAGAGAGAAGGAAGGAACTGATCGTTTTACCCTCTGCTTTCATTCTCTGAGGGTTTCTGTGGATGCTCTGCAAATATTTCTCACTTGGTCCTCATTATCACAAACATTTCACTGAGTTTGTAGCTCATGTTAGGTGCTATGTTAGGCAAGGTGATCCTGTGCCTGGACTTGTCAAGCAGAAGTGCCAGTTACATAGAGAAGAGGGAAGTTGCCCACCTGGAATGTACTGGACAAGTAATACAGGGGAGACAATTATGGTAAATGTAACAATTACCACTTCTTGAGCACCTACTGGTTTCCAGTGCCTAATGCTTCTATACATGACATCCATCAACACCCAGGACAATGCTATGAGATGCAATTATTCCATTTTACAGAAGAGGCAATAATGTGCAGAAAGGATCGATAAGTTGTTCGAGTTCACAAATGTGGTAAGTGGAAGAGCTAGGATACAAACCCAGGTCTGCAACTCCATCAGGTGTGGCCTCCCCAGAGAGCCAAAGATGGTGAGTTTGGCAGGGCTGAATGATAATTGTGAGTGGGGCTTATTGCGGCTTTCGTCAGTTGCTCCCAGTGCAGCCTAGGAGGTCAAGGTTACCCATGACCTTCATAGCACCGAATCCAATGACACTTCTCTGTTTTCACCAGTCTACCGGCTGACCACTCTTTTGCTTTTTCACCTGCCCCCATTAGCATCCTCAGCACCACACTCACCTACTTTTTCTCACCCCATTGTTTGCTTCTCCACAATGTCCTTCGCCAACTCATTCTCTGCTCATCCTCTAAACACTGAGTGTCCCTGACTTAAGCCTCAAGCAATTCACTTTTTCCCCCCTTTCTCCTTAGACGATCTCTTCAAATACCATGATTAATATTATCATAAATAGGCAGAAGATATCCATGTTTTGAAATGCAGGTTCTACTTATGGATATTACCATCTTCCACCTAATTGCCCCCAAATTACTAGTCTTGTAGGATTCTTTTCTCCACCCCTCAACATCCAATCTATTAACAAGCCCAGTTGGTTCTCCTTCCAAAATAAATCCCAAATCTGCTCACAACCTTTTGTTTCCACTACGTGGATCAAACCACAATGATTTTTCACTGGAACTGAAGCATCAGCCTCATAACTGACTTCCATACTTGTCCCCTAACAATCCTTCCTCCACAAAATGATCTTAAAAAAAAAAAAATCAGTTCAGGTCACTTCCCTGCTTAAAATCCTCCAATGACTTTTCATTGTAGTTAAGATAAAACCCAAACTGTCACCATCACATAGAGAGTCCTAGAACTCTGTGATAATTGCTTTCACTCTCCTATCTTGCACTGGCTGTATCTCTGTTCCTCAAGAATCCTGAGACCATCACTTCCTCAAAGGCCTGGATTTTGTGGTCCTTTCTGCCTGGGGTTTTATCCTGCTGATCTTAGCATGATGGTTCCTTTCATCTGCTAGGCCTCAGCTGCTGTCATTCGATGGGCTTCCCTTGTCCAAAGTTGTTCACAACGATCATTATTTTTGAAGATATCATAGGACTAATCACTATCTGAAATGATCAAATGTATTTGTTGCCATTAAGGAAAAAACCTTCCACATCATTATGGAAATCAGGAAAATCACATCAGGAAATACCTTGCATCTGCCTAATCCTTAATCCACACAAATGTGCATATTTCCCCTGAAAGGTAGAGCTGGAGGAGCCTGGACTTCCTGGCCAAAGGGGGCCAGGTTGGGTTGCTGGGGCACTCACCAGTAAGAGAGACCTGAAAGCCCTGATTGCTGGAGAAGCCTGGGGCCCCATCAGGTGAGCAGTCCATTTGGGAGGGGGTGGGTATTAACTCACCAGCTAAAAGTTGACATTAGATTTTTCTGGGAAGGGCTCTCTCTACCCTGAAGCCAATCAAGGCCAATCAAGTGGTCAGTCTGGAGCTTCACAGGCCTGGAGTGCCCCCTGCAGGCCAAAACTGACTGACAGACGATGAACCGCATCTGTGTGCGCCATGCAGGACAGGGGATAACTAGGCACCTGGATCAGGGCAATGTCGGAGAGGCAAAGTCACAGGAGAGGCCTATTGGGAGTACATGGCATCTCCTAATTCTAAGCCTTAACCTACCTACAAACATATGTAGTCCCCTGAAGGCAGAGTTGGAGGAGTCCTGACTGCCTTACCAGGACTAGATCTGGCAGGCTGGCTGGGGTATCCTCCAATAAGAGACAGCTGGGAGAACTGATGGCCGCAGAAGCTGGGACCCTATCAGGTAGCTAGTCCATGTGGGGCTTGATCGTTGTCCATTTCAGCAGCTACCTCAGAGCAATTTGGGGCGGTAGGCTTCCTCCACCCTTAAGACAATGCAAGTGGTTGGGGATGAGCCATAGTTTCAGAGGCCTGGAGGGTCCCAGCTGCCCAAGGACAGGTGATGAAATATATATACTGCACCTGCGTGGGAGGCGTAGGTTAGGCTTGCCAGGGACCCGGAAAGGGGCAAGTGTCAGGAGAGGCTAGGTCAGAGCAGAGAGCTGTTGGGGGTCCAAAACGTGGGCCAAATCTCAAGCCTCATCCAGCAATGTGGAATATTCACTCTAATGGCAAAGCTGGAGGTTTTTCAACTGCCTTGTGGAGCAAGGGAGCAGGTGAGCAGGAAAGGACATGCTCGCTTGGGAGACACCTGGGAGTCCTGGTTCCTAAGGAAGCCCTGGACAGCAAGTCCACATGGGGTCT